GATCCTGTCGCGCTGCTGCAGACCACTGATCAAATAAACCCCCTTTACTCCTCAGATGGCCTCAGTCTTAGGATCCCGACGATGCTCTCAATTGCGGGGTGCCCCGAGGTATAAATCAGGCGAGGCATTTCAACCCGAACCGCCGGCCCACAAACCCACCCCGAACATTCAACCGTAGACCCAAAACCCATGAATCCACTGCAGCTTACTCCACCGAAGCCGATGGCGTACCATAAACTTTAATCCTCGAAGCCAGCATCCCCAAAGGTCCATAGCGTCGATGTCAGCTACTCTGGCCCTGGGCCCAAGACCCTTCTGACTTCGGCCTTCCGGCCTCTGTGAGTTTCGACTTCGGGGTTTGGGGTTTAGGGCTACCAGATGCCCTACCTGGACCCTACGGAACTCCTACCTTCTTTAGGGCTCCTTAAAAAGATTTCCTTCTGCAAGCCCTTCAGAAGGGAGGGTATTTAGGGGGCGCATGCTTGCATATACCCTAGCTATTCAGAACCATGGCATCTAGGGAACCAGCCCGAATGCAACAAAGAATGCTCGCACTTTGCGTTCATTGTGTGTTTCACGCGCTCCCCTCCTGCCACCACTACTGCAGCATTTTGGTTCACACGGCGCGTGCATCGGCCATGCAGCGTCAGAAGAGGCGACGCTTGGATTCAGGCTTCAGCCTTGCCCAGGTCATCCGCAGCTTTGGAAGCCCAGAGCCTCCATCGCAGGAGGCGACAGAGGCGTCCTGGCAACCGTGCTTGCAGGACGTGGAGGCCACGGAGCGTGGCCCGGAACTGGCGGATGCAGCAGGCATGCAGGAGTTGAAGGAGCCTGGTGGAGGCTTCGCAGATCTCAATCTGGAAGAGAAGGAAAAATTGCTGACTGTGAACGCAAGCCTTAGGAAGGAGATAGGTATGAAGGCTTTTTACACGTTCGATGTCCGGACATGCCGTGAGGACTTGAAGAAATTGGTGCACACCTTCTTCTCCAGGTACAGGCAGACAGAATGTGAAGACCACTGGTTCGAGACGCAAACAATCTTTCAGAACAATCAGAGGAGGTTTTTATCAACATTGAGGACGCCTTCCTTCTACGGGCGTAGTTTTCGAGGCCAGCCGATGCTGCTCAACAGTATGGCGGAAACCTCGGCTTGTAGGACATTCCTGGAAGATACAGACGCTCGCGAGGTTTCCAGGTGGCTTCCGCCACCTTCCAGAGTACTGCGAAGAGACATCTTGGGAAAGTTCAACAAAGACTGGAAGGAGGCTATGATCCAGCGGGGCATCTGTCCCAAGCTCGTTCAGCAAGAAGCTATCCAAGCGCTTTCCGAGAAACTTAGGTCTGAGGGCTGTAGGCTGGCAAAGTGGGATGGTAATGCCTGACCCCGCTCGTTGCACGGAAAAGGCTTGCAGTTGGCACTCGGGCTTCAGAGAGGCAGTGTAGAGCGTGAAGTAGCTACCGTAGCTCGCAGAAGCTCGAAGTTTCAATCAGTCGCCATCTTTGATGTGCTGGATCCTCAGGGTTTAGGGTTTAGGTTTAAGCCGTATTCCATGTTGTAGCTGCTTTAGGATTTGGGGTTGATTTCTGGGTTTGGTGCCAAACCCTCACATTCTCAACCCTACACCCCAAACCCTACACCCGAAACCCTAGACAACTCCAAACCCTCAACCCTACACCCGAAACCCTAAACCCTAAGCTGCCAGGTTCCAGATCCTGAAATCCTCGTCAAGAGCTTTGCGCACATAGCATTAGTGCAATGCCGGATGCGGGAAGCTTTAGGGTTTAAGCTTTAGGATTCATCTCGGCTTTGTAACAGGGCGAGAATCGGGTTTAGGAATGGTTGCCGAGGCTTTGGCTCGACGAATATCTCCGGGAATACCCCAAGTCGGGCGCCGAGATCTAGGTGGCACTTTGGGAAAATTCAACATATCCGTGCTGGTTTCTATAGAGGTACCTATTCATCCTTACTTTTAAGGGCCCCCAAAACTCCAACACGTGCAGCTTCAAGGACAGGTAGGATGTTTACGGGTTGGGGTCCAGGGCTCTGAAATGTCTAGCTTTCCGTCTTCGGGAGCCGGGTTTAGGTTAGGGTGTGGGGTTTGATGTACCTGGCTTAGGAGTGGAACATACACGGTTCAGGTCTTCTTGGGTTTAGGACTGTGGCAAACCGCGCATGTTGAAGCTGCCACCAGCGCTGTATTACGTACATACTACATGTGATCCCCTGGTCACCTACAACTTGACTTCTAGCCGCCACGATGATGGATGAGCTTGCGCTCCTTGAGTGAGGAGGCAGAGCGTCTTCCAAAGTCAGGCTTGACATTAGGAGCCGCTGGATTCGGCAAAAGGCCTGGATACTGCCAGACCGCTTGAAGGCCGACCTACGCATCTTCTCAGCTTGATTCTGGTTTAGGCCGGCAATGTCCAACACGTGCGGTTTGGTGACGGTGTGCTTTCCCTTCAGGCTTTGGCGTTAAGCTGGGTTGCTCTCGCAGAGATACTTTTCATCGCTGCCTCAACTCAATCCCTACTTGTTTGGACCCCCATGTCGACACATGTTTGAAGACAACTCGGGCAGGAGCCCCAGCACATCAAGACAACAGCAGCTTTGAATCCACAAACAATGCTGTCGTTTGCCACAACCCGATCGAGTTCAGGTTATCGCCGAGGAGTTCAAGAGGGGACACGCGTCACGGGTGCGCGATCGAGAGAAGGAGCTGCGCACTCGGAGCGCTTGAAGCTTTGGGGCTTGTGCTGTGAAGGCTTGGCGGCAACTGTCTGTTTCATAGGGCCTTTACAGCCTAGAGGGTCCCCATTTACTACTATCGTGGAACTAGGTCCCAACAGACCATTCCTATTATGGTCTTGGGAACCTAACTTAACAATGGTCGTACATATGGACCCTCTTGGAAAGGAGACTTCACATACAACAATGAAAGACTGGCGGAGAGAAACGACGCCAGACCAACAAGGCTCTGTTTAGATCCCATGACGAGCTTGGGTAAGGAGCCTGATGCTTCAAATCGCAGAAGTCGAGCCCCCAACAACTTCTGTTCAAGACATTTTTTAGGATGATCTGAAGATTTTCGGCCCCCAATGTCAGAGCACCCAAGAGCGATTTCAGAGCAATCTCGCCTTCCGAAGCCGTCAGATTTAAAAAGCAGCAGGAGGACAAGAAAGCCGGGAAGAAACAGCATCCGGAGGAGGCGTGTTTTGTTGCAAGTTTCATGTGTCATTTTTTTGGCGGAGCCCTGGTTGTTCTAACTCCGGTGATGAAGCTCGACCGTTTTACCCCGTCGAATTGGGAAGGGTTTGTTGGGGATTTGGATTTCAGCTTGTGCGCTCGATGTTTGGGCTGAGGTCCCTTTGAAAGTACCTATCGTCTCCCTTGTAGTTCCTGTTTGGATCCCCTTATAAGATCGTGAATACAAAGCTGGTCAAACAAGAAAAGGAACCACACCGGAGACTTTTCCATAGGTAGTGCTAGTGCTAGGGATTGAGGAAACCTTCATCTGTAACCCACGGTAAGCGCGGAGATGCCGGAGCTACTACTCTTCAATACCACCTCTGATCCGGCGTAACTAGCAGCCCATGTCAAAATTCCAAGAAGGATATCTGCTAAGATTTCCGTCAGGTGGTTGTCCACAGCGATGGGAAGCGAGAGAGACCTGACGTCAAGTGTCGAACTCAACACCCTTTACTGCCGATCCTCGAGATGCTTCTGCAACCTGCATCACAACTCCACCCTGCTTGCTGGCCAATGCTAGATGGCGAATGCTCACTTAAGATGTCGAGGGTTGTGTATGGTTCGCCCGATTTCAGCTTTCGGGTTGGTCTCAATTGTAGCTCCTTTTTTTGTTGAGCCAATTTTTTGTACAGGACTCTGAAAGGTAACCCAAAAAAATGAACTACAACGGAGACTGCAGGTACTTGGAGGATCATGGGACTTAGTAAGTCAGGTAATAAGTAATTTAATTTCGGTTGAAAATCACTATCAGTATACTTGCCGCATATTTATCACCCTAGTTGCCAAGTCCCATGATCTTTTAAGCAAAGGCCAGCCCAAACGGGAGAGACTGAGGTGGGTGAAGTTCCGATTCCTGCCGCCGCCACCCCTTCGAGACGACATGGGCGGGATCTCTGCGCGGAACTTACATTGGGGGGCGACTCTCCACCAGTGAATTCGGTGTGTTTTTGAGTTTGAGGCTTGGAGTTCGCGGTTTGGGTTTCGGGTTTGGGGTCTTAGGGATATCCATGTTATAAGCTTTTGGGGTTGGCGGCTTCAGTTACGAAGCCCGGCATCTCAGTGGGAACTAAATTCCGTCAGTTCTCGTACCCAGGGAAGCTTCAGGCTTTCCGTCGTTTGCTTTTCTGTCTCGAATCCTGAGCTTGGCAGAAAGCCCAAGCCCAAGCCCGAAACGACCTGAGTCTCCGAGCCCCGACAAAGAGAGATCCCACCCCTCAGCCAGAGCCCCAAACTGCAAAGCCCACCCGGATCTTTAGGCAGAGCCCTAAGCCCAAACCCCACAACCCTAAACCTTAAGTACAGCACACCTCGGCTCGAGACCCCAGAAGATGGACACGAAAGCCTCGAATTCAAAAGAGATCTGCCAGCCAGCCGGAGCACACACGACGAGCATGCTGCATTTCCTAAACTGTACCCGGAAGCCCAAAGCAGCGCTCCTGGCACGTGTAGCGCTGATACAGCTTCGGCTTGCCAGGGTTTTACACTGATCGCTCTGCTGCAGACCACTGATCAATAAACCCCCTTTACTCCTCAGATGGCCTCAGTCTTAGGATCCCGACGATGCTCTCAATTGCGGGCGGGGTATAAATCAGGCTAGGCATTTCAACCCGAACCGCCGGCCCACAAACCCACCCCGAACATTCAACCGTAGACCCACAACCCATAAACCCACTTCAGCTTTCTCCGCCGAAGCCGATGGCGTATCATATACTCTAATCCTCGAAGCCAACATCCTCAAAGGTTCACAGCGTCGATGTCAGCTACTCTGGCCCTGGGCCCAAGACCCTTGTGACTTCGGCCTTCCGGCCTCTGTGAGTTTCGACTTCGGGGTTTAGGGTTACCAGAAGCCCTACCTGGACCCTACGGAACTCCTACCTTCTTTAGGGCTCCTTAAACAGATTTCCTTCTGTAAGCCCTTCAGAAGGTAGGGTATTTAGGGGGCGCATATATACCCTAGTTATTCAGAACCATGGCATCTAGGGAACCAGCCCGAATGCAACAAAGAATGCTCGCACTTTGCGTTCATTGTGTGTTTCACGCGCTCCCCTCCTGCCACCACTACTGCAGCATTTTGGTTCACACGGCGCGTGCATCGGCCATGCAGCGTCAGAAGAGGCGACGCTTGGATTCAGGCTTCAGCCTTGCCCAGGTCATCCGCAGCTTTGGAAGCCCAGAGCCTCCATCGCAGGAGGCGACAGAGGCGTCCTGGCAACCGTGCTTGCAGGACGTGGAGGCCACGGAGCGTGGCCCGGAACTGGCGGATGCAGCAGGCATGCAGGAGTTGAAGGAGCCTGGTGGAGGCTTCGCAGATCTCAATCTGGAAGAGAAGGAAAAATTGCTGACTGTGAACGCAAGCCTTAGGAAGGAGATAGGTATGAAGGCTTTTTACACGTTCGATGTCCGGACATGCCGTGAGGACTTGAAGAAATTGGTGCACACCTTCTTCTCCAGGTACAGGCAGACAGAATGTGAAGACCACTGGTTCGAGACGCAAACAATCTTTCAGAACAATCAGAGGAGGTTTTTATCAACATTGAGGACGCCTTCCTTCTACGGGCGTAGTTTTCGAGGCCAGCCGATGCTGCTCAACAGTATGGCGGAAACCTCGGCTTGTAGGACATTCCTGGAAGATACAGACGCTCGCGAGGTTTCCAGGTGGCTTCCGCCACCTTCCAGAGTACTGCGAAGAGACATCTTGGGAAAGTTCAACAAAGACTGGAAGGAGGCTATGATCCAGCGGGGCATCTGTCCCAAGCTCGTTCAGCAAGAAGCTATCCAAGCGCTTTCCGAGAAACTTAGGTCTGAGGGCTGTAGGCTGGCAAAGTGGGATGGTAATGCCTGACCCCGCTCGTTGCACGGAAAAGGCTTGCAGTTGGCACTCGGGCTTCAGAGAGGCAGTGTAGAGCGTGAAGTAGCTACCGTAGCTCGCAGAAGCTCGAAGTTTCAATCAGTCGCCATCTTTGATGTGCTGGATCCTCAGGGTTTAGGGTTTAGGTTTAAGCCGTATTCCATGTTGTAGCTGCTTTAGGATTTGGGGTTGATTTCTGGGTTTGGTGCCAAACCCTCACATTCTCAACCCTACACCCCAAACCCTACACCCGAAACCCTAGACAACTCCAAACCCTCAACCCTACACCCGAAACCCTAAACCCTAAGCTGCCAGGTTCCAGATCCTGAAATCCTCGTCAAGAGCTTTGCGCACATAGCATTAGTGCAATGCCGGATGCGGGAAGCTTTAGGGTTTAAGCTTTAGGATTCATCTCGGCTTTGTAACAGGGCGAGAATCGGGTTTAGGAATGGTTGCCGAGGCTTTGGCTCGACGAATATCTCCGGGAATACCCCAAGTCGGGCGCCGAGATCTAGGTGGCACTTTGGGAAAATTCAACATATCCGTGCTGGTTTCTATAGAGGTACCTATTCATCCTTACTTTTAAGGGCCCCCAAAACTCCAACACGTGCAGCTTCAAGGACAGGTAGGATGTTTACGGGTTGGGGTCCAGGGCTCTGAAATGTCTAGCTTTCCGTCTTCGGGAGCCGGGTTTAGGTTAGGGTGTGGGGTTTGATGTACCTGGCTTAGGAGTGGAACATACACGGTTCAGGTCTTCTTGGGTTTAGGACTGTGGCAAACCGCGCATGTTGAAGCTGCCACCAGCGCTGTATTACGTACATACTACATGTGATCCCCTGGTCACCTACAACTTGACTTCTAGCCGCCACGATGATAGATGAGCTTGCGCTCCTTGAGTGAAGAAGCAGAGCGTCTTCCAAAGTCAGGCTTGACATTAGGAGCCGTTGGATTCGGCAAAAGGCCTGGATACTGCCAGACCGCTTGAAGGCCGACCTATGCATCTTCTCAGCTTGATTCTGGTTTAGGCCGGCAATGTCCAACACGTGCGGTTTGGTGACGGTGTGCTTTCCCTTCAGGCTTTGGCGTTAAGCTGGATTGCTCTCGCAGAGATGCTTTTCATCGCTGCCTCAACACAAACGCTACTTGTTTGGACCCCCATGTCGACACATGTTTGAAGACAACTCGGGCAGGAGCCCCAGCGCATCAAGACAACAGCAACTTTGAATCCACAAACAACGCTGTCGTTTGCCACAACCCGATCGAGTTCAGGTTATCGCCGAGGAGTTCAAGAGGGGACACGCGTCACGGGTGCGCGATCGCGAGAAGGAGCTGCGCACTCGGAGCGCTTGAAGCTTTGGGGCTTGTGTTGTGAAGGCTTGGCGGCAACTGTCTGTTTCATAGGGCCTTTACAGCCTAGAGGGTCCCCATTTACTACTATCGTGGAACTAGGTCCCAACAGACCATTCCTATTATGGTCTTGGGAACCTAACTTAACAATGGTCGTACATATGGACCCTATTGGAAAGGAAACTTCACATACAACAATGAAAGACTGGCGGAGAGAAACGACGCCAGACCAACAAGGCTCCGTTTAGATCCCATGACGAGCTTGGTAAGGAGCCTGATGCTTCAAATCGCAGAAGTCGAACCCCCAACAACTTCTCTTCAAGGCATTTTTTAGGATGATCTGAAGATTTTCGGCCCCCAATGTCAGAGCACCCAAGAGCGATTTCAGAGCAATCTCGCCTTCCGAAGCCGTCAGGTTTAAAAAGCAGCAGGAGGACAAGAAAGCCGGGAAGAAACAGCATCCGGAGGAGGCGTGTTTTGTTGCAAGTTTCATGTGTCATTTTTTTGGCGGAGCCCTGGTTGTTCTAACTCCGGTGATGAAGCTCGACCGTTTTACCTCGAATTGGGAAGGGTTTGTTGGGGATTTGGATTTCAGCTAGTGTGCTCGATGTTTGGGCTGAGGTCCCTTTGAAAGTACCTATAGTCTCCCTTGTAGTTCCTTTTTGGGTCCCCTTATAAGATCGTGAATGCAAAGCTGGTAAGATTTCCGTCAGGTGGTTGAGAAGATTAAAAAGACTATGTCGGCTCCACAGCGATGGGAAGCGAGAGAGACCTGACGTCAAGTGTCGAAGTCAACACCTTTTACTGCCGATCCTCGAGTTACTTCTGCAACCTGCATCACAGCTCCACCCTGCTTGCTTGCCAATGCTAGATGGCGAATGCTCACTTCTATAAGATGTCGAGTGTTGTGTATGGTTCGCCCGATTTCAGCTTTCGGGTTGGTCTCAATTGTAGCTCCTTTTTGTGTTGAGCCAATTGCTTTGTACAGGACTCTGAAAGGTAACCCCCCAAAAATGAACTACGATGGAGACTGTAGGTACTTGGAGGATCATGGGACTTAGTACGTCAGGTAATAAGTAACATAATTTGGGTTAAAAATAACTATCAGTATACTTACCGCATCTTTATCACCCTAGTTGCCAAGTCCCATGATCCTTTAAGCAAAGGCCCCGAGGATGCAAGCCCAAACGGGAGAGACTGAGGTGGGTGAAGTTCCGATTCCTGCCGCCGCCACCCCTTCGAGACGACATGGGCGGGATCTCTGCGCGGAACTTACATTGGGGGCGACTCTCCACCAGTGAATTCGGTGTGTTTTTGAGTTTGAGGCTTGGAGTTCGCGGTTTGGGTTTCGGGTTTGGGGTCTTAGGGATATCCATGTTATAAGCTTTTGGGGTTGACGGCTTCAGTTACGAAGCCCGACATCTCAGTGGGAACTAAATTCCGTCAGTTCTCGTACCCAGGGAAGCTTCAGGCTTTCCGTCGTCTGTTTTTCCGTCTCGAATCCTCAGCTTGGCCGAAAGCCCAAACCCAAGCCCCAAACGACTTGAGTCTCCGAGCCCCGACAAAGAGAGATCCCACCCTCAGCCAGAGGCCCCAAACTGCAAAGCCCACCCGGATCTCCAGGCAGAGCCCTAAGCCCAAACCTTAAGCCCTAAGTACAGCACACCTCATCACGAGACCCCAGAAGATGGACACGAAAGCCGCGAATTCAAAAGAGATCTGCCAGCCAGCCGGCGCACACACGACGAGCATGCTGCATTTCCTAAACTGTACCCCGAAGCCCAAAGCAGCCCTCCTGGCACGTGTAGCGCTGATACAGCTTCGGCTTACCAGGGTTTACACTGATCGCTCTGCTGCAGACCACTGATCAATAACTCCCCTTTACTCCTCAGATGGCCTCAGTCTTAGGATCCCGACGATGATCTCAATTGCGGGCGGGGTATAAATCAGGCTAGGCATTTCAACCCGAACCGCCGGCCCACAACCGTAGACCCACAACCCATAAACCCACTGAAGCCTACTCCGCCGAAGCCGATGGCATACCATATACTCTAATCCTCGAAGCCAACATCCTCAAAGGTCCATAGCGTCGATGTCAGCTACTCTGGCCCTGGGCCCAAGACCCTTCTGACTTCGGCCTTCCGGCCTCTTTGAGTTTCGACTTCGGGGTTTGGGGTTTAGGGTTACCAGAAGCCCTACCTAGACCCTGCGGAACTCCTACCTTCTTTTGGGCTCCTGAAAAAGATTTCCTTCTGTAAGCCCTTCAGAAGGTAGGGTATTTAGGGTCCAGCTTTTGTTGCCCATAGTCTCCATTGTAGTTGCATTTTCGTATCAGATACTGAATACAGGTCGTTTCAACCACAAAACTACAATGGGGACTATGCAATCTTGCCGCACTCAACCATGCATAAATCCAGTGTGCAACCAATTACAACTCTGAATACCCAAAAACCCTAAGCCCGATAGAACTAGTATAGCACCCCTTGCGCACCCTTCACAGGAACTCGGCATTAGGGTGTTTAGTCTTTTCATTCCAGACCCGGTAAAGCACCCGTAAGGCAGAGTTTTGGGTTGCCTCACTCGGGCCTCCAGTCTCATGAAGAGTTTCGCCCTACACCCCTAAACCTTAAAGAAGATGAGTCCTTTTTGGGGGGCTAGGGCCAGGGTCTGTGTAGCAGCTGGATCTCCGAAGCCGTACCTGCAGTGGAAGGAAATTACATTAAATTTGAATCGGAACCCGAGTAAGATTTACGGTATATTCCTTCATTTAGGGGGTTTTGGAGTCTCTGGCAAGCTCCATCCTTCGAGCCCCTGGCATTTCCCTTCAAGGAATCCCCTGCTCTTTCGTGACCCGAAGAAGGCATGCTAGCAGCGAAAAGCCGACCCCTACACCCCTCAACATAGCTTCCGTGCGAAAAAACAAAGTCCCACCGCGGACTCCTTCGTCCCCACTTGGTAGGTGTTTGGGCCCCACAAGTACATACGATCCTACTATACACCAACCCCTAAACCCCAAAGCCTAAAACCCCTAAACCCTTTGGGTTCACTGCAGCCGACGCTCGCTCCGTAGGCCACCTCTACGCGGCGATCGACTTCACTCCTCCCCAGTCTGTTTCGGACATAGGCCTGGGTTATTTGGGCCTTTTATTTGGGCCTTATTAGGGTAAAGTTCTCCTGCCCGGTCATGATATCTATACATATATATATATATCACATACATGTATATACTTAGATAGATAGACAGATAAATAGGGTGTGCAACTATGGGAATCACGGTGTTGTTTGCTTGGGGTTGAGGGTGGGAGTTGACAGTGTTTCCCTAGGGTTCAAGGTAGTTACAGTGGGCCTTTCATACTGCAGGTTTTTCTGGTGGGCCAGAGAGTCTAAATAAGGGTGATTTTATGGTTTCATGGCTCCTTCTCAAGCAAGTTTTGCTAAGAGAGGTGGGTTCAAGAGGCTTGGCAACCTCGACTCGGCCCACTCCAGCGTTTTAGCGAGCTTTATAGAAGGCTTGTTCGTGCTTCGCGCGGCTACCCGAGACCCCAAATGCCCTGAAGGGGAGTGATTAGGATGAAGGGGTTTACTTAGTCCCAGCATTTCTTGCTCGTTGATGACGACTTGTCCGAGGACGCACAGGAAGCTGAACAGTGTGGCCTGTGATAGGTGGTGGACGGTGATGGGAACCGTTTGGCTGAGTTCTGATGTTGGGTCTTCGGGCATCTGTGCTGTAACTTTGCATCCGGAATCAGTAATTATATAGCTGAGCGGCATCTCCTTGAGACCTCTTGTGGCAGCTGTTCCAGAGTATGAGTGCTTTCCGAAGCCTGAAGAGGAATTGAGGTAAATATTCGCAAACCTTGAACTCTCCCGTAAACCCCGAGGCCCTCAACAGCTATAACCCCAAAATCTTAAGGACAAATTCAACCCTCATCCCTGAATCCCAATTCCTGTAAGCCTTAGGCCTTAAACAGCCTCTCGCGGGCCCCCTAAACCCTAAACCCTAAGCCTCGCGGGACGTGTCCGAAGTCACCCCGTGCTACTACCAGCCCAACGACGGCTCCAAGGGGCTGACTTACAACAAGATCCCGGGAGGCCCCTTCTTGGGGGTTTTTCGGGCTTTAGGGGTTTTGGGTTTTGGGTTAGGGTTTTGGGTTTTCGGTTTAGGGTTTTGGGTTTAGGGTTTCGGTTTAGGGATTTGGGTTTAGGGTTTCGGTGCAGGGTTTTTGGTTTTGAGGGTTTTCGGTTTTTTGGGTTTTTGGGTTTTGGGTTTCGGTTTAGGGTTTTGGGTTTTGAGGGTTTTGATGGTTTTCGGGTTTTCGGGGTTTTGGGTTTAGGGTTTCGGTTTAGGGTTTTGGGTTTAGGGTTTCGGTTTAGGGTTTTGGGTTTAGGGTTTCGGTTTAGGGATTTGGGTTTAGGGTTTCGGTGCAGGGTTTTGGGTTTAGAGGTTTCGGTTTTGGGCCTTGGGTTTCGGTTTTGGGTTTAGGGTTTTGGGTTTAGGGTTTCGGTTTAGGGTTTTCCAGACGGTCATCAATGCCGAGTGCCTTCGGGCAGCAGACGGCCTCCTAAGTAAGGGCCACCCAGATCGCCAAACTCGAAGCCGAGTTGCCCAAGACGTAAATCTCGAACCCATTAACCCCTGAACTGCAAACCGCAAACCCTAAATCCCCCAAACTGTCATTTCTAGTGTGAACCGACCTTGGCTGGATCATTTCGCAGAAAGGGTCCATTGCACTTTAAAAAAATCCCCCAAACTTGCAACCCTAAGTTCCAACACGAAGTCTTCCAGGCTGTCGCCTCGGATTCGAACTCCCACTGGGCACAGAACCGATGCGTACGCTTCAAGCCCACTAATTGCAACCCCACAATCCTAGTTTAGGTTTGCAGCCACGAGTTGCGGAAACTGCAATGCTCCAGCAATGTTCGTTGGTGAGAGCCTCCGAAGCGGCCGATAGTCTCTTGCTGATTCGTTCGTCGCGTGTCGTTTAGCCAGAATGTTACGCATCAGGATGTTGTCCGACACGGAGGTGGCGAGCATACCGGCAGAGTTGACCGCGAGGGAGGTGAAGCTGCAACTCCATCGGCTGTATGGCTTTCCGCCAAGATTCCGACAAAGGCTGCTTCTTCGTGGCGAGCCCATGGATGATTCTCTCAAGCTCCACGAAGCAGACCTGGAGCTGGTCCTGCTGAACTTCAGCAGCCCCTCCCAGGAGCAAGCAGAGAAACTGGTGACTGCCGCAGAGAACGGCTCCTCAGCCGAGGTCGCTCCAGGAAGGGTTTGGGTCTCGTTTTTGTGTAGATTTGTATACAGGGGTTAAGAAACACGTGTGCAGAGGTCTAGTTTGTGAAAAGAGGGGTTAGGATCAGAAGTTTGTCTTTCACGACCTTCCCTTTCCTCCTGGAACCCCGAAACTCCTAGCTCGGATGGATTTGACTTCGCAGGAAGCCTTAAGGTGTTTAGGGTTTCCCAGCCCAGCCTCCGGGCTCACCAACTCAAAAGCCAAGTTCAAAAAGGAAACCCTGTCAAAACGTTTCGGTCAAAACGTTTTGACAACTACTATAAACCCTAAACCCTAAACCCTCAAGGCAGGAGGCAGGGGCAGGGCGGCAGAGGCAGTGTGGAAGGGGCGGGGGCAGGGCCCCCTGCCTTCCCCCCTCAGACCCGCTTTGCCGCAGCCCCGCCCCGTTTCACCAGCACTCGGTTTCAGCGGATCCGGTTTGCCGCCCAGCCTCCCCCCCGGTTTCATCAGCACTCGGTTTCAGCAGACCCGCTTTGCCTCCCACCCCGCCCCGTTTCATCAGCACTCGGTTTCAGCAGCTCGGTTTCAGCAGATCCGCTTTGCCTCCCCAAACCTCGCGGTTTCAGTGGATCCGGTTTGCCTCCCAGGCCCCCCCGGTTTCATCAGCACTCGGTTTCAGCAGCTCGGTTTCCCCCCGCCAGCCCCGCCCCGTTTCACCAGCACTCGGTTTGTGACGCTGGGGTTGGTTGTGTTGTGGAGTCGGGGAATTGTATCATAATCAGGATCCCTGTTACTGTTAGAGTACTGTTGGGTCTACTTGAGCGGATGCTGCTGCGCCTATCAACCCTCGGGCCCCCGGAGTGAAGCTGCGGCTTTTGGGTGTGTGCTCCTGTCCCTGCGTCCTTCGCCCGTGTGGCGCCCTGAATGCAGAAACCAAGGCGATGGTCCGCTATTCGACAGGTGTGGATTAGCAGAGAGGGTGTGTTTGGCGAGTGCAAGCAGGGAGTTACGGTCCAGTTTCGGGCAGTGGGTCATGGCAAGCTATGCCAACTGTTTACAAGAGAAAGGACGAGCATGACGGCGATGGGTTTTTTGTTTGGCGGCCTGTGTCCGTCTTTCTCTTCATCGCGTATTGGGATGAGCTGCAGGCCATCCTATCAACCATCATGGAAGAGCAAGAGAGCACTGGATGCCAAGCGCCGAAGCCTCAGATTCGAGGGGTCCCCGAGCCCAGCTGGATTTTCACGAGCGCTTGGCTCGTAAGGCTGCGTGCTGAAGTGCAGGCAAGGTAGTCCCGGCACTCATTAACGTGGTATGCGCGGTTCTCGAGCGTATGCGAGCTTCATTGATGCGGAGTAGAGGTGGTAGGATGCCCCCTTCAAATGGGGCAGTGCAGCTGCGATTTCAGGGGCCTCATCGCAGGAAGCCTCAGTCAAATTACATGATGTCACATGCACTTCTTGCCTTACCACATCTTGCCACCCATCCATCGCAGAATCCGCCTGAGGTCGTCGTCTCCTCCAAACCCGTCCTCAGGGCACATCGAAGTTGACACGAGGCCTCCTCACGCGGATGGTGTGGGGGGCGGGGGGGCAAAACGTCAGACAGATCATGTGAAACCGTTAATCTTCTGGTTGTGCCTCCGGCTGCTTCCTCAAGGATTGCCCCGCTGTGAATAGAAGGTTGGCAAGAGCTGCAAAACCTGAACGGGCTTGAGCACTCAAGGACGCCTGGCTTGCGCTTGTGAACACTGCTTCGCTTGTGGATGTTGATTGGGTCTGATTGGGACTTACATGCATGGCGCATAGGCGCACAAACTGAAGTCTAAACCGAAGGACCCTGTTGGCCGTGCGGGCAGCTGTGGAGGCCAGGTGCAAAGCTGGCCCTCGAAACGGTTTCGGCATGGGAAGTTTCTTGGCTTTGGCAAATCGGGCGTGCAATATAGGTTCTTACTGCCGCCGTGGCTCAGACGTGTCAGATAGCGAACTTAAATGAATCCATGTATAGACTTACATCCTTGTGGCCTCTGCCGCCTCAGACATGGACCCTTGCAATCGACACTTGTCATACGGTGCCTTGCTGTACCAGGCCGGCTTAAGGGATCCTGAGGAGTGTCTACATCCTGCAGACGGTGACATCGACCTGTCGCGGAGCACAACCAGCTCAGCAAGTACCAGCGCGAGTGGTTGCTTGGAAAGCAGCTCGCAGCCTTCGGCATCAAGCCCCGGCTCCCGCAAGCGCTGCAGATCCGAGCTCAAGGAGGAAGAAACCGAGCCGGCCAGTCCGGGAACGTGGTATTTCACAGACAGCGCGAAGTACGAGGATGCCAAGATCGAAGATGGCACAGCATGGCAGTTTGCAGACGGCGTGAAACACGATGATGCCAAGATGGAACAAGACACCTCCTGGCACTGTACAGATAGCTTGAAACATGACGATGCCTGGATGGAAGATGACACCTCATGGCATTCTGCGCAGCCAGTGCAACCGGTGTGCGATGAGTCGACACAGCCAATACTGACCATCGGAAGCCTTCGCGTGAAGTTTGCGGATACTGCTAAGCGGCCTCGCCTGGGAAATTGGAACAGGGTCAGATATGCAATCGAGCGCGTTGCCAACATCGTCTGTGCCATTCCACGGGCTGAAGCAGAAAGGTTCGGCGTGGCTCATTGGTTTCGTCGGCACACGAAGACGGTCATTTTGCAATCCGTGACGTCATCACCCGAGACTTTGGAGGATGTGCAGCAAGACAACACAAGCCGAGACTGCCGGTGCGTGGAGTTTTTGAATGTGCTGGCTGCTGTAAGCCACTGTGGACTGACAACCAAGGCTGTGAGCAGCATGTTCGTATCTTGAATCGTTACAACGGTGAAGAACGACATGCTCGATCCATATGGGTACTATGGCGTCAGTCTAGCCCAGATGCTCTCGGTGCTGGCTAAGGCACCGGGCGACTTGTTTCTGGAAGGAGCAGAGTAAACCCGAAACCGGAACACCCTAAACCCTAAATTCCAAGCATCCCCACACCCTAAACCCTAAATCCTCAAGCCAGCCTACTAACTTGAAATTGTGCCTTCCTTTTCCAAGCAGTCAAAACAGGAAATCACCGAAACTCACCGAAACTTTCCCCGGACCTGAACCCGTAACAATTTCAACACACGCCTAAACCCAAAGCCCGACGTAAACCGATGTAAACCCCTAAACCCCAAACCCCGAAACCCTTCAACGCCTAAATCCTAAACCCCTAAATCCCAAGCCTTAAACCCTGAACCCGGTCCCGAGGTCCCAGACCCGCCATAACTCCTAGGTTTGAAGAGTGCGAACCCAAGAGCCGGGCGACTCGGGCCTTGTTAGGGTTTAGGGTTCAGGATCTGGGTCTCAGGTTTCAGGGTGCAGGGTTTAGGTGTAAGCCGTTAGAGTTTCGGGTTTACGATTTGGGGTTCAGGTTTCAGGGTTTAGGTTCCAGCCGTTAGGGTTTAGGGTTTAGGATTTTGGGTTCAGGTTTCAGGGTTTCGGGTTTAGGTTTAAGCCGTTAGAATTTCGGGTTTAGGATTTGGGGTTCAGGTTTCAGGGTTTAGGTTTCAGCGGTTAGGGTTTAGGGTTTACGATTTGGGGTTCATAGAAATTGTATAGGGTTTGGGTCCGGAGTTTTGCCGGGTTTTGGGGGCTTTTGGGGGGTTTTGGGGGGTTTTGCCGGGTTTTGCCTTTTGCTTTTGCTTTTTGATTTTTGGGACTTGGCTGGGCTGGCTGGGCTGGGTTGGGGGGCTGGGGGGCTTGGGGCTGCTGAGTGGCTGGGCTGCCTGGGCGTCTAGGAGTTGGGGGGCTGGCGTGAGGGCTGGAGGCTGCTGGGAGCTGCGGGGGCTGCTGGCGGCTGGTGGCGGCTGCTGTGCCGGGATAGGAGGGCGAAATCCAGCCGGGGCTGGGTCCGGGGTTTTGGGGTTTTGAGCGAAAGTTTTGCGCGAAAGTTTTGAGCGAAAGCTTTGGGAGGGTTTTGTTTTTTGACTTGAAAGGGCTAGGGGGTTGAAATTGTATAGGGTTCGGTCCGGTGTTTTGACCGAAAGTTTTGGGCGGGTTTTTGACCGAAAGTTTTGGACGAACGTTTTGAGCGAAAGTTTTGGGCGGGTTTTGTTTTTTGACTTGAAGTTTTCATTTTGGGTCGAGCTGGCTGGTGGGGGCTGGGGCTGGGCTGGGGGGCTGGGCGGGTCGGCTGCTGGGCTGGGCTGCTGTGGCTGGCTTGGGCTGGAATTTGGTTGGACACGTTTAATGAAAACTTGAAACTAATCAAACTGCAGTTCGGCACGCAAATCACACAATTTCTATTTATCCTGCTCTTGAGGGTTTAGGGTTCAGGTGTAAGCCGTTAGAATTTAGGGTTTGGGATTTTGGGTTCAGGTTTCAGGGTTTAGGGTTTAGGTTTAAGCCGTTAGAACTTCGGGTTTAGGATTTGGGGTTCAGGTTTCAGGGTTTAGGTTTAAGCCGTTACAATTTAGGGTTTACGATTTGGGGTTCAGGTTTCAGGGTTTGGGTTTAAGCCGTTAGGGTTTAGGGTTTAGGATTTGGGATAGGTTCCAGGGTTTCAGGTTCAGGTTTAAGCCCTTAGAATTTAGGGTTCAGGTTTCAGGGTTTAGGGTTTAGGTTTAAGCCGTTAGATTTTCGCGTTTACGATTTGGGGTTCAGGTTTCAGGGTTTATGTTTAAGCCGTTAGGGTTTAGGGTTTAGGATTTGGGGTAGGTTCCAGGGTTTAGGGTTCAGGTTTAAGCCGTTAGATTTTAGGGTTCAGGATCTGGGGTTCAGGTTTCAGGGTTTAGGGGTTTAGGTTTAAGCCGTTCGAATTTCGGGTTTACGATTTGCGGTTCAGGTTTCAGAGTGTGGGTTTAAGGTTCCAGGGTTTAGGGTTCAGGTTTAAGTCGTTAGAATTTAGGGTTTGGGATTTTGGGTTCAGGTTCCAGGGTTTAGGGTTCAGGTCTAAGCCGTTAGAATTTAGGGTTCAGGATCTGGGGCCGTTAGAATTTCGGGTTTAAAAATTTGGGGTTCAGGATTAGGGGTAGGTTCCAGGGTTTAGGGTTCAGGCTTAAGCCGTCAGAATTTAGTTTTCAGGTTTCAGGTTTCAGGGTTTAGGTTTAAGCCGTTAGAATTTCGGGTTTAAGATTTGGGGTTCAGGTTTCAGGGTTTAGGTTTAAGCCGTTAGGGTTTAGGGTTTAGGATTTGGGGTCGGTTCCAGGGTTTAAGGTTCAGGTTTAAGCCGTTAGAATTTCGGGTTTAGGATTTGGGGTTCAGGTTTCAGGGTTTAGGGTTTAGGTTTAAGCGATTGGAATTTCGGGTTTACGATTTGGGGTTCAGGTTTGAGGGTTTATGTTTAAGCCGTTAGGGTTTAGGGTTTAGGATTTGGGCTAGGTTCTAGGGTTTAGGGTTCAGGTGTAAGCCGTTAGAATTTAGGGTTTAGGATTTGGGGTTCAGGTTCCAGGGTTTAGGGTTCAGGTTTAAGCCGTTAGAGTTTAGGGTTCAGGATCTGGGATTCAGGTTACAGGTTTCAGGGTTTAGGTTTAAGCCGTTAGAATTTCGGGTTTACGATTTGGGGTTCAGGTTTCAGGGTTTAGGTTTAAGCCGTCAGGGTTTAGGCTTTAGGATTTGGGGTAGGTTCCAGGATTTAGGGTTCAGGTTTAAGCCGTTAGATCTGGGGTTCAGGTTTCAGGGTTTAGGGTTTAGGTTTAAGCAGTTAGAATTTCGGGTTTACGATTTGGGGTTCAGGTTTCAGGGTCTAGGTTTGAGCCGTTAGGGTATAGGATTTGGGTAGGTTCCAGGATTTTGGGTTCAGGTTTAAGCCGTTAGGATTTATAGAAATTGTTAAGGGTTTGGGTCCCGAAAATGTTTTGAACGACAGTTTTGAACGAAAGTTTTTTTTTGCGAACCGTGTTTTCAAATTTGCTGGGGGGCTGGGGCTCTGGGGCTGGGGCTGGGCCTGGGGTTGGGGCTTGGGCTGGAAGGGCTGGGGCTGGGAGCTTGCGGGTTTTTGACGTTTTGGTTGGTTGGGTGGGTTGGGTGGGCTGGAACAAAGCCAGAAAGGGGTCTGGAAAAGGTCGGGCACACTGGGCCAGGCAGGAGGCCAGGGCGGGGGCCAGGGGGGGGGGCCAGCAGGGGCGCGGAGGGTTTTGATTTAGAACTGTTTTGAAGGCTGGGGTTGGTGGGGCTACAACCCTGGTTTTGGAGTTGATGGCTCGGGCTGGGGGGTGGGACGGGCTGGGGGTGGCTGGGCTGAAGTTAGGGTTTAGGGTTTATAGAAATTGTTAAGGGTTTGGGTCCCAAAAGCGTTTTGAACGAACCGTTTTGAACGAGACGTTTTGAACGACAGTTTTTGTTTGCGAACAGTGTTTTGAAATTTGCTGGGGGGGGCTGGGGCTCTGGGGCTGGCCGAAAGTTTTGACTGAAGCGTTTTGACCGAAACGTTTTGTGCCTGGCACCTGGGACCTGGGACCGGAGCTGGGACCTGGGATGGGACCTGGCTGGGCTGGCATAGGGCTGGTCTGGGGCTAGGGCTGCGCCTGGAACTGGGGCTGGGCTGGGGCTGGACTTGGTGGTGCCGGCCCGTGCCTCGAACAAGGGTCTGTGGGGCACCGGGGCCTGGGGTGCTGGGGGGCTGGGGGGTTAAGTTTTCAGAGAAATTGGTTTAAAGAAATTGAACTTCAATTTGATTTTTGAGTTGGGTTGGGTGAATTGGTTGAGTTTGCCATCACCAGCTCAAGGTTGGCCGACATCTAGAACACACCAGTTACAGTGAATTTTTCGTTTGCAACGTCATTTTGATTTTGGGATTGGGCTGTTGGGCCGGGCTGGGGCCGTAGCTGTGGTTACAAACAAAGACAAGCAATTTCTATTTATCACTTTCTTGAGGGTTTAGAATTTGGGGTTCAGGTTTCAGGGTTTAGGTTTAAGCCGTTAGGGTTTAGGGTGTAGGATTAGGGGTAGGTTCCAGGGTTTAGGGTTCAGGTTTAAGCCGTTAGAACTTAGGGTTTAGGATCTGGTGGTTTCAGGTTTCAGGGTTTAGGTTTAAGCCGTTAGAATTTAGGGATGGCGATTTGGGGTTCAGGTTTCAAGGTTTAGGTTTAAGCCGTGAGGGTTTAGGATTTGGGGTAGGTTCAAGGGTTTAGGGTTCAGGTTTAAGCCGTTAGAATTTAGGGTTCAGGATCTGGGGTTCAGGTTTCAGGGTGTAGGGTTTAGGTTTAAGCCGTTAGAATTTCGGGTTTGCGATTTGGGGTTCAGGTTTCAGGGTTTAGGTTTAAGCCGTTAGGGTTTAGGGTTTAGGATTTGGGGTAGGTTCGAGGTTTTAGGGTTCAGGTTTAAGCCGTCAGAATTTAGGGTTCAGGTTTCAGGGTTTAGGGTTTAGGTTGAAGCAGTTAGAATTTCGGGTTTACGATTGGGGGTTCAGGTTTCAGGGTGTAGGTTTAAGCCGTTAGGGTTTAGGGTTTAGGATTTGGGGTAGGTTCCAGGGTGTAGGGTTCAGGTTTAAGCACTTAGAATTTAGGGTTTTTGATTTTGGGTTCAGGTTTCAGGGTTTAGGGTTTAGGTTAAGCCGTTCGAATTTCGGGTTTACGATTTGGGGTTCAGGTTTCAGGGTTTAGGTTTAAGCCGTTAGAATTTCGGGTTTACGATTTGGGGTTCAGGTTTCAGGGTTTAGGTTTAAGCCGTGAGGGTTTAGGGTTTAGGATTTGGGGTAGGTTCCAGGGTTTAGGGTTCAGGTGTAAGCCGTTAGAATTTAGGGTTTGGGATTTTGGGTTCAGGTTTCAGGGTTTAGGGTTTAGGTTTAAGCCGTTAGAATTTCGGGTTTAGGATTTGCGGTTCAGGTTTCAGGGTTTAGGTTTAAGCCGTTACAAATTAGGGTTTACGATTTGGGGTTCAGGTTTCAGGGTTTAGGTTTAAGCCGTTAGGGTTTAGGGTTTAGGATTTGGGGTAGGTTCCAGGGTTTAGGGTTCAGGTTTAAGCCGTTAGAATTTCGGGTTTACGATGTGGGGTTCAGGTTTCAGGGTTTAGGGGTTTAGGTTTAGGGTTTGCGATTTGGGGTTCAGGTTTCAAGGTTTAGGTTTAAGCCGTTAGGGTTTAGGGTTTAGGATTTGGGGTAGGTTCCAGGGTTTAGGGTTCAGGTTTAAGCCGTTAGAATTTCGGGTTTACGATGTGGGGTTCAGGTTTCAGGGTTTAGGGGTTTAGGTTTAGGGTTTGCGATTTGGGGTTCAGGTTTCAAGGTTTAGGTTTAAGCCGTTAGGGTTTAGGGTTTAGGATTTGGGGTTCAGGTTCCAGGGTTTAGGGTTCAGGTTTAAGCCGTTAGATTGTAGGGTTTAGGATT